CGGATAATTAAAAAATTCATTGGTTAACCTACTTAAAATTGTAAATCAAATGAAACCTGAAGGACCAAACAACACATTGTTTTTTGTTTGAGAGGCCTCAGTGACTTCAGTTGCCTGCCATGGGGCTCCAAACTTGGTTGATTTTACACCATTTTCAATGGAGCTTGAATTGGTTCAGTGCACCCTTATAGACATACTTTGTTTTATAAGGCTTTGCAGCACTTGCAAAAGTGTACAGGATCCGCACCATCACAGCCCACTGAGAGAAGTGTCAGCTTTGTGACATGTCACAGCCGCTACGCAGGATGGTTTTTGTTTGCCTGGTATTACCTAGACTTGAATTCAAGTCGTTTGTCAGCCACGTTTGTCATCCATGAGCCAGCATGCTGCGTCGTTTTACAATTAGTGCTGAGCCTGTTCAGCCTGCCATCCATCCAGTGTGTCACGCTATTCGGCCCATATGGTAAAATGTACAAGGTGCGGTCGGGCTGTTCAGTACCAGCCCACCATCGCGAGGAAGGTGGACTACACCTGGCCAATTACCGACTTGATTTCAAGTCTAAGTATTAACCAATCTTACCCAATAGCACAAGTCGCTGGGAGGGGGGGTGGGGGTGACATGCAAAAGTCAAAGGTCTTAAAGATCAAATGCCAGGCTCTGTTGTGTGTTCATGCACATCATGGTGGCATTTGTGTTTGCTTGTGTACTCCATATGAGTGATCTACCTTTATATATAGGTGTTATAATTCAACCATTACTTTCAGTACTGGTGACATCAACAGAAGAGGAATTCAAAATTTAAAGTAGAAGAACTCCTTACTTGAGACTTTCCTTGGGAACAAAATTACATGTTACTTAAAAGCACTTGAATTACAGGCATTTCAAGATTTGTTGAGATACATGAAATTGCAAGAAAAAAGATATTTAAGACTTTCAATGAGCTTTCATAATGCTTATGTTTTATCATTAGAAATACAAGCATGCTACAATTGTAAAAACTTAGCAGATGGGCCAGACCAGGCTGGCAAAGACACTCATCATCAAAGGTGTAAGACACAGTACATGCAAGTTACATGCCAATAATGATGTCAGTCAGGCTTGAAAATAGACCATAGGCTTTGGGAAAATTTGACCTGTGACCTGAATGGAAAAATTTTCCCATTTGAGTTGACTAAATTATAACTTGGACATATTTAAAACTGCATTAATTGCTGAAACTTTTGACACCCCAGAATGTACACTGGATTCGATAGAAGGAAGTAATTAAATCACTGGTGAACTTAGAAATCTATAATTGGCAAAAAAGAACAATTCTGCCTTGATTCAAGGTGAAGGGTAGGCTGTACGTATCTTGTAAAATCTATTTTCATATGTGTAACTTGCAGAACTTGTGTGTTTAAACTGATGTGCAGCCACTGAGCAAAAATTTTATCAAATTTATTTGCTCAGCAAAATATCAAACCAAACCAGATCAAGTCAGAAGCATTACACATCTCTGGGTTTTGAAGTGAACACATTTTGACAGAGCAAATATTATCATCCTTTTTCTGTCCTTTTGTGATCAGAAACTGGGAGTGGGTCTCCTTGAGGATGTAGTTTTTAGGTTAGAACAAAGTTTGTAAATTTGCCCACACCCTGATCATAGATTTCATCATCTTTTTCTGGCAACAAGATTCCACTGTGAATAGTCACTTTAATGTGACCGAGTCTGAAGAAAATCCCACGCAGATGTTGGAACTAGTTGCTTGCACACGCCAAAAAACAACATGCCCACCCCTTACATTACATATCTAAAAGTGGCATATCCAGCTTTTGGCTTGGGGGGGGATTAAAAAGCGAATGTGGCTTTGGGCTCATTAAACAAGATGTTGGGGCAGTGGTGTATCCATGGGGGATGCCTGGGACATGTGGCCCCTCCCCCACTGGAAAAATAAAATGGATCAATGGATATTGAATAAGGCTAACAAAAAGTTGCTTCAAAAAACCACACCACTGAAAGCTGATGCCCCCCCCCGTTAAATCCTAGCTACTCCATTGTTGGGGGAGAAAAAAATACCAAAAGCCATATTTGCGGTTCCAACTCCCAACATCCTTGCTTTTATTTCATGGTGTTGTTTTCTCAGGATATGTTGGTAGTAATATACCAATTACCTTCTTACCTATGGATTATTCTTTGTAAAAAAAAAAAACTCTCAGGGGGGGAAAACCACCCCACCCCTCGCTGGACACACCACTGATATACCTTGTGGGGACAAATTACTAAAATGAAAGATGATTTTTTTGCTCTTTCATTTTTCTTTCTTCCCAAAGTGCATAAAAAGTCCCAAAAATGTAGCCTCACCTCCAAAAAGGCTGTGAGAAGTTACATAAAAATTTTAAATCTTAGGCCCCCCCCCAAAAAATACAAGTCTGGCCTCCACAAGAAAAACTTGGTTCTGGATCTGCCTTTGCACACACTCACAGTCACTCAAACAAAACATTGCAACATTACAAATATAGCTGCATCCAACAATTTGAAATTTATTACTTATTATCACAGAATGTTTTATCAAGTTTCATATGATTTTAGAAATGCCTGTGTAGCACAGTATCAAATCAACAAAGTTATATTCATGGATGTCTAGTAAAGTCATTCAAATTCTCAGTCAAAATTTGGATAGTTTCATAAACTGGCACTCTTCGTTTTAAGCCTTGAGGAACTTTTACAAAGTTCTGTTTTAGATTTCCTTACATTGTCCATGTATACATGCGAGTCAATTCAATATGATCATATTATCCTCTTTAGGGGGAATCACAAAATGGGACTTTTTTCTATGTATATACCTGCTAAGAAAATAACTTCTGTTTATCTGATCAGAGAGATGCATGCTTCTAGAACAAGAAGATGTGGTGTCAGCAGTAAAAAAAATTATATTCATGTACATTTGAGTACTTTGTGTTTCACCTAAAATCACAAAGGCCGGGAAGGGACGAGAACACAAAACTGTCAGACTTGTGCCAGTTGATAAATAAGTTTGAAATAAAATTCTGCTTGAATTGTCTCCCCTTCTTGGCACTTACATATGGCGGTGAGTGACTTCAAAGATGCAGTGATCACAAAGAGAATTTACAGAATGGGGACAGTAGGTTTTACACATGTACATGTATGAGCTTTTGCATTCAGATAACAATTGAGTTCAATTTTACCAGTACATGTACTTCCTCAACTACATACTTTTCAGATTTAAGACATGTGCATGTACAATAGACGAAATCAAATTTACAGAACCAATTTTGAATTTTTACAGGTTAAAGCCAGTCGTTTGGAATTTTAATTGCAGATTTCATTGGTACAGACTACATGTACATGTACATGTACGCACGTAACATCAGAGTGTACTTTGTACATGTATAACTAACAAATAGTAAGATGTGCACACAAGCATGTCCATGTACATCTTAGTCCATATGCTGGTATTATGCCAGATTCATTACAGTCTTATGAGTACATGTACATGTAATGTCAAACACAGATAAGAAGAGCACAGTCAAAACAAGGTCACACAAGGTCAATTTTAGACCTGTCCCAAGTCTTTCTTTTCCTTCGTCTTCCATTTCTGATAATATAAGATAACTAACTATAACTAACTATAACTAACAAGGTGATTCATGAAGTCCCAAGGACTTTGGTATTACATTGCTTCAATGTACATGTATGTACTATAAAGAGTACCCAAGTGTGATGTCATTTCGAACCAGAAAGTGTAGTGCAAACCAATGGAATACTTGTGCTTGTTGGTCCACATGCTGGCTGTCGCACTAATGCCTTTTACACTCATAATTGTGCTCACTATGACGTATTCACTTAGGTACTCTATAAATGTTACTGTACCACAAAGGCTACAGCACTAAAAAACATCAGGGTCATATTCAGGACACGAAAGGAACAAAAAAGAATACAAACCAAGGAAACACATGCATCGTCAATCTCCATTGTACACGTACATGATGTAGCATGCCTGCAGGGTACGTACATGTACACCCAATCCCGCACCACACACTCACATTTCACCTATTTCGCGGCGACCAAAAATGTGAGGACCCAGAGATGTCCCCACAACTCGGTTCAAATTTCCCTAACAAAAGAACTTGTCCCCTGAATGGGGTGAATGCCTACCCACAGTAGCAGATGTTGTCTTTTTGTGTTTCACAGTGTCATTTTTGTTTTTCATTTTTATATACGACAATATCCAAATATTTCCCAAACAATGTGCAAATCAAGTACATGCAAATGTAGACCTCTTTTATTAACGGAAGGCACAAGTACGCGTAGTTCTTTATGAGGAGAAAAGTTTTAAATATTGAGAGACATAAAGTACTCACCAATTAAGACAAACATGTACATGTGTGCATGTATGTATGGCAATATTACTAATCTACAGATAAAATAAAATGTGTACAGAAATGATCTTTACAACCTTGGGTAAAGTACATGTAAAAAAAATATATTAAATTTAATACGCAATACACATGAATAGTACATGTACATTGTACCTGCAGATGTTGACAGACACTCATACAATTTATGTTTTTTCCTCAATCACTCCCGTTTCCCTGACTTGCCTGAATTGATGATCCCGTTGCTTACAAATTTACTCCAACTTTCACATTTTTGTTAAGAAATAATCTTTTTCAATTTGTCATGATGCCTGAAAAGCCTTAGCCTTTAGATAGAAAACTAGAATTTCTTTAGAATTTCATAAAAGCATTATCTTGTGCAGTAATTAAGAAGTTAAACAGATTGAAACTACACATGGCTGGAAAAGCCAGCAGCCTTGGTTTCATAAGGACGCCCTTTAATACGGTATATACATTTTAAATACATATTTAAGAAAAAATAAATGTATGACAGTTTTTAATTAAGCAGAACACCAGAGACAGAACGATGGAAGATCTTCTAAGACAATGACAAATTCAGGATTTGAGGTGTACAATTTACTCCTGGCATTTTGGCCACATGGAAGCACTGTGTACATCTTCTGCCTCTTGCTCCATCCAACACTGTACGTAACGCAAACCCAACATCTGTACCAGTACTCCGAGTTAACTGGGGCATCAAGCCCGCCATCTGAAGTAATAAACTTTTGTGTTTCAGGGCTGCATGCAGTCCTGCATCTACCAATACAGGGCAGCTCAGGTAATGCACTGAAATTGGGCAGTAGGCCACTTGTACATACCGGTACGTCTGTCAATAATTTCATGAAGAAAAGCACAGTTTATAGATGCTTTTTCTAAGAACCATGTTGTTAACGGATTTTAGACCAAAAAAAGGACCTTAGTCATGTTAGTACAGTGAACTGTTTGTTGGTAGTTACTTTCATTTATTTCTACAGTATTTTCTGCCATACTTGACAAATTAGCAGAAAATGTACCTCAGTTGATTCCGCAATGACAGTCTTGGTTTCAGAGTGTAAACTAGCCATATTAATGTTAACATGGTTTACGGACTAAATCATATAAGCTTTCATTAGGTAGTCCTTGGGAACCAGACCAACCTTGTTGTTCCTTTCACCAATCCACCAACTGAAGGTGTCGTACTCCTTGCTGATGATGTGTACCATCTCGCCTCGTCGGAACTCCAGCTCATCCTGGTCATCTGCCATGCAATCCCACAATCCAATGTAAATGTTGGCGTAGTCTTCCTCCCACGGTTCCTTCCTGATGGGCAGGTCTGCAATCTCATTGGCAGCTCGGGAGGGCACAGGTGGGGCTGGGGTGGAGGCAATGGCTGGCTTGGACATGCCCAGTGCCGGTTTGGCCACGTTCTTGATGTTCTTGCCTGGGTAGGTCTTAATATGCATGTGCGGTGAGTAGGGCCTGGCTGGCTGTGTGTCAATGGGAACTGATGGTGGGGGAACTGGTCTGTGGGATGTGGGAATGGGGGGTGGGGATTCAGACTGGGGGGGTTCTGGTGGGAGGGGCTTATTAGCGGCTGAGGGCTTGGGAATGCGTTCAGGCATTGGTGCCGGTGGGGGAAGCTCAGCTTGCGGCACGTCTTCATAAATCTCTTCGTCGATGGGTTCCACATCTTCCTCATTCTCCCCTGCACCAGCAGGTGGCTCAGCCACAGGTGCCACTGGGCCACCCATCTTGGTTGCTTGGTAAGCATCCAAGTCTTCGTAGGTGTCTCCGTAATCATCATCATTGACTTCACAGGATGGGCCTGGGGCTGAGGTGTCATCGTATTCTTCAGACAGATCCTCACTGCCTCCAGAATTGTTAGGGGTTGATTTGGCAAGAGGATCTGTGAGAAACAGATAACGTTGGTGATATCACAATGATCGGCTGTCTATAAGTACATCGCCTTTTGCTGTCATTTTGCATTGGAACCAAGCATATATTATCAGGGCCGAGATGGCCGGACTTGGGTTTGAGTTCCACCCATAGAAAGCCCATGAATTGTTGTTTTTTTTCGAGAAAAAAGGTCTCATAGAAAACTAAGTATATTTTGCTGACTGAAGCAATTATCTTGATTAAAGTGGCACACTTAATGTAATATATTCAACATTACGTGTGCCACTTTAATCAAGATAATTGCTTCAGTCAGCAAAATATACTTAGTTTTCTATGAGACCTTTTTTATCTAAGAAAAACAATTCATGGGCTTGCTGTGAGTGGAACTCAAACCCAAGTCCGGCCATCTATGACCTCTGGCCATCAAACCTATTAGGGCAGGTCAGTAAGCCTAAGTTCAGCAACACAGGAAGCACTGGAATCACCGTCCGAATCTCTAATTTAGGGAAATGTCTTTATTTACACTGAGAAAAGTTGGCAGGAACTAGGTCATAAAATCTGAAAGGTTTATAAAACAGGTTAGTTAGTTAAAAATTAGACTCATTCATCTTTCTCGTGACCTTTGAGAGTTTGTTAGTATTAAAGTATTGATGTTAACACCTGTAGTCGATTTGTAATTGATGAGTCAAAGCTAATAATTCTCCATCATCGAATATAGGACTGTTTGCAGCTGCTTTCCTAATACCTGGCGGCACTGGGAAACAAGAACTGAGCAGGTGTCACGAGCCATGATGTATACCACTGTTTATTTTTGGCAATGGGCATTCTTGCCACTTAGCCTTTAATACCCACCTACAGAGCTTGGTCCAAGCTTGCTAGCGACACTGATGGCCTTGATCCATTCCTGTAAGTCTTTCTTGTTCTGTGCAATGAACTGCAAACCAAGCATAGAAAAAAATTATAAAAAGATCAAAACACACCTTCTGGCAATGTATAGACCACTTGACGGCAGGATTATTGTACAACAAACTGATCCCAGGTGCAGGGTTACTTTCGGCCAAAAATACAGACTTCTGAAACTAAGAAGGTGCCACATTAAGAGTCCTTTATTAAATTGGACTTAAATGCTGACAACATTGTGAGTAATCTACACGATTTGTATGACACTCCTACCTGTAACTGTAACCCTCCTGTGCAACGTTCGGAGGCCCTGCCATGGAGCAATATTGGCTACAATGAAGGTCATGTAGATAGAGCAGGCAAGTTGAAGCTCAACACAAAAGAAACGGGCAATTTGACAGTCCAACCTACACGTCTCACCTTACTCTGTAATCATACCTGGTACGAGCGTTTGGCTGGGCACACCACCTCAAACAGCAAGTCCTTCCTCTTATTCTTCCTCTCAAACTCGGGGGCCTCTCGTCCCTGGTACCCCGTCAGCACAATCTGGTTGCACTGCTCCTTGTCCGTCTTCTTCTTGTAGTAGTACAGGATGTTGCCCTTGATAATGCAGTAGCGTTTCTGCCAGCTCTGTAAACCGAATTGTCCTTCTGGTAAAGGCAAGTGGAGGTGAGAATCATGATTTCTGGAAGTGGTTGCTCCTTGAGTTAGTTTAAAAGGCCTATCTGTTATAAACTTTTGCATGTAACTGTTAAAGTCAAGTCCACTGCAAGTCCAGTCATGTATCCCATCACAACACCACTTATAGGTAAAAGGGGGTCAAATTTGACTAAGGAATACCTTTGTCGTAGTGCAGTTCAACACCTTATGAGTTGACTTGCATAGTACATGTACATGTACAAGGTCTGAATGACTTGTAATGGACTTGTGGGGATGTGTCATGGACCCAGCTACAACACAAATGGCAAATGCATAAAGAAAGTAAAGCGCTGTAATGAAACTTTGTAGCTGATTCTGCCAATGGCGGCAGAAAGATTTTCAAAGTGAGGGCGCCAGTTGTGAGACCATCAGGCACCAGCTTTTCAACAGACTGATCCATTTTGCCCCATTATAAGACCCCGCCAAAGTGTGATGGGCGATGTCCCAAATTGAGAACGCAAAACAAACAGGTCCAATGTATGTACTACAAATGTACTATTGCTTGTTTAAGCCACAAGCCAAAACGCAAAAACCGGCAGCTGAAGGAAAAGGGTCCAAGAATTGATATCCTGAAGGAACAAAGTGGTGACGGAGAGTGACAGGATAGAAAGGATTGACAATAAATGTATCTGATTTGAGGATCCTTACAACACTGTGGAAATGGCGCCCCTTCAAATTAACAAATACCTTACGCTCAACAGCACCTGACGGTCAAATTTATCAGGAACTGAAAGGGCTCCTGGACCATCAAGTTTACCGTAATAAAGTCCAAATTACTGTAGTTAGCATAAAGTCATAAATATTGTTTTTAACCACTGACGGTCAATATTGGATCGAAATAATTTCAATCAATCCCTGATGACTAAAATGACCTTAAAGGATATCTAGTCTCATCATTCACAGCAGATATGCATGTACAGACCATCACAAAACTACAAGTAAACCAGCTGTTGGCCAGATAATTAATGCTGGCCACATTCCTTGCATACAAATCATGAAGGAGCTGCTCTGTTTGTGTAGTCAACGGAAACTTTTGGCCTACATGTATTACAGAATCCAGGGCCAGTGAAATTCAGAAAAACTGAAGAAAGAAGTCGGTGACTCATGCTCGTTGTTGACGTCAGATTTCAGGAAAAAGTGCTTAGAGGTTTGGCCCTTGTGTTTGCAGGAGTTAGGGACTGACAGGGATATCATGGAAATGGAAATTTTCATACACTAATCTCATATTAGTTTTTTAAACTGGAAGTCTGAAGGTTTTTGAGGTTTAATGGTCTATAAAGGATTTGAGATATTCTGCAGTGATTTTCATGAATGCAAATATTTGAGAGGGCTCACTTCCATATCAATTCGATTCCCAGCTCCTTACAACTACCAGTACCTGCTTGCTATGGCAAAGACCTTCTTGTCCAAGCAAGATAAAAAAAGGACTATTTACCCTTCCGTTTCTTATCCAGGTAGCCTTCCTTGCTTGGTGAGGTTAAGTCAGATGCTGCAATTGGGTCTACTTTGACATCGCCTAAAATTAAAAAAAACCACTCAGCCAATCATTAACTTTATTATTAACTTAACTTCATCCTGACTGTTTTCCTTTGCATTGAAAAAGACTCCAGGATAAATGGAAATATTTATTAATACACATTGACGGATGGAAGTGGAGGAAGGAAATTTCAATTTCACGTGGATTTTTTTCCTGGGGAGTTGATGATTTAAGGACAGCTGATATCATCAGTTATATACTAAAAGCCTAATTAACATTGGCTGTGCATTTGTACTTGTATCTGGATACTGGAACCAAGGACATTACTGCAGCGTACACTGGCAGATTGCAATGCCTGGCGAAGGGATTCGAACCCAGAACACCACACTGAGGGGTGCAACGTCTGGGCCAATAGTCTACTTAGTATTTTTATGAGTAAGATTCAAACCATGAGCACTTAATAAAAAGAAAGCAGGAAATCTGTTACATCTAAGCACTGAAAAAAGTGTATAAATTCTCTGCAACAAACAAAAACCACTGTGAATGCAATTCTGAAAAGGTAAATTTCTAATTGTTGGAGGACATCATTTGGCATGGATGCCTCCGAGTTCCTTATTTCTTCTTCAATGAAACAATTTTCAACTTCACTGTCTGAAAAATATACACTGTAGTATGGTGCAGTACTGGTATGTGTGAAGATCTCTATGGATGCACACATGTACAGTACGAGATGTTGGAAACCAGACTCCAGAGTCCAGACACACTACATGTATATTTCTTTTCTTCTCAGAACATTGGATTGACAGGCTTTCGGGTCACAGTGTTTAAGTATACTTATGTCAATCAATTGGAGTGGGTTGTTCTTGTTATTTGTAATGTCCCTTTGTTTAGTCCATTGATTTTTATGTTTGTTGAATATTGTCCTACCAGTATCTGTTCTGAATGGCCGAATAAATAATAATAATAAAAATAATAATATCCACTTTGAATTTTAATAACAAAACTCCTAGGAATTAACCAGTTACTGTCTTACCATAGGGATCACCATCCAGGTCAAACATCCCACTCCTTTCTTCTGGCTCCTCCCCCTCATCCTCCGAGATCTGGGAGGAGTCATTGCTGTGGGTGGATTCCGGCACGGTGTCCTCGTAGATGTCATCGCACTCGTCTTCGTCTTCTTCCTGGGTCTTGTCGGCTGAGGCGCTCGTCGGCAGGTCAACATCGGCATATTCCTCTGCAAATTACAATTCAATGTGATACATCATTAGTACATAGGGCTATATTAACCCTAACCCTCCTCAATCCTTCACCTGTTGGAGGACTGAGGAGTGTTAGGGTTAACATGGTTAATTAATACATGTAGAGCTGGAAACCTATGGTGCATGTACTGTACGTGTACCGAACATTTCAACTTGAACTGATTTCATGTACGTTTGGGGCATGATGGGCAAGACATTATATCAAGACAAGAAAATGGCACTAAGCCCTGCATAATTGGCCCAGCAGAGGCCTTGTACTGCACAACATGTGGCCATGTGATGGTTTGTGATAATTAAGTACATGTACTGTACATGCAGAATTGACTTTTGAACACACTGGGTAACCCTTTTAGAGGTACATTATGTACATGTACATAACATAATCTTGAAACAGTTTCCGTACCAATTACTATCACGATCAAAAATAACTGGATGCCTCACCATGATGTACATGTACACGTACGTATTAAGTTTAAGATTTCTAAACTTGTACCGATTTGGAGAATGCATACATGCATGTAGTGTATGCATGTACATGTATAAAGTATGTAAATGGTTCAAGGTCAACGTAGCATAGTAATTTGTGACTTCCAATGAGCATGAGCTGCGGAAGTCCGAATGGCACACACATTAAGTGCAATGCTCTATTTACTGTCAATCACGTACTACACGTACCATTTTAATCCTTTTTGAATTTAAAATCATATAAATTTAAAAAGGGGAAAATGATAGTGATGACTGATGTACATATGTACGTGTAAATACGTAAAAGTACCAAACGAATCCACTTTCTCCACCAAATTTTGATATTTATAACAAAAGTGCACTGTGCATATCCCATGTACTGTAAATGGTGCAAATGGAACTGATCGTGATATGTACATGTACAGTGTACATTTACGGCAATTACCAGCATGTACATGTAACTGTGTACTCCAAAATAATGAAACCTACTGCATGTCCAAACGTTAACACTCTTTTCACCATTCAATCACAATTCAACTTTTTAAATTTGATACTCATCCGACATGTTAACATTACTCTTTATAACAAATAAAGAAAAGTGTTGAATTTGGAAGTAATGTCATGTGTCATTACTTTGAGTCATTTGTGCTGTCTGGAAAAAAAATAACATTTGCATGAACTCTAAAACAAAAACTGTTACAGTTTCTTTTATCAAATTCCGTCCGACATGATTTGGGGACTTTTGAAACATGTCCACGATTGACTGTAATTATTGCTTTGAAACATGTCCGAGAAATTCTCAACATAGTATACAATTTTGCTATTAAAGAACAGTGAATTAAAACAACTGACATACAGTGATATGATATGAAACTGGCATTCCTACACATACATGTATATTACCGGTAGTGCATGTCCATGGATAAAAATACAGTATAACAGGCTTCAACCTAGTTTCAGAGGATCAAGGTCACTTGGTCTTGAAGGCTCCCCAAAACTACAGGGCACCAAGGCCATTTTGGAACTGATATTTTACTTATTGGTGACTTTAACAGACTTTCTTTCAATTTCAACATTGATCTTTCAACCTGCAATTTTCACTGTTTCCGTTCACACGCTGAGCAGTAGCACTGCTTGAAATGTAAAAAGTAAAAACTTGTAAACAATACTGTACATTTCATTTAACATTTAAATTACCATTTGGTGTTGAGTCTTATTACTTGTCATGATGCCATAAAGCCAACACTGTCTATACTTTGAAAAACACTGTAATTACTCACACACATTGCAATTCAAGCAAGCCGGTCACTGGGTCACAAACATAGAAGTCTGCTGTCATGCTGATGTGAATACACCAGTAGAATAGCGGGGAAAAAAATATAGACTGGGTTGTATTCCCATCAGCAATACCAAAATATTGGTGACTCGGTCTCAATACATGTACAGAATCCAATCGGTGTAGAATGTATAACTCTGTGCTGCGACCCGCAACCAATTAATTAATCTACATGTATGTACATGTATGGTGCCGCGTTTTTAGAATCACACAACTCAACTATATTGATATGGTTACTACATGTATACCACATTGTCTACAGCTACAGGGCAACTTGAATGTAAAACATCTGTGAAGAAAATATTGCTCGGTGCGGCCGGCCGTTGACAGAAACACTATCCATGTAGCGCTAAACGTTAACTTGTAACTTGAAAGTTGAACACATCTTTAAAATAGGCTTAGTGATCATTGAAGAGGGGCACGTTGGCCAAGTGGCCGAAAGGTGTGTGCTATTTTTAAAGGGCATCACAGCAATTCACTGGGGCATCACAGTATTGGCCGCTGTAAAGATCAAAGCCTGACGTTACTCTGGATGAACTTTCAAGCAAAGGTTAAAATGTTTGCTCTTCCTGTACATGTATGCTTTGTGGAAAACAGGCACAAGGATGTACATGTACACAGCTACAATGTACATGTACACTGACAAAAGTCCAACTGAATGCCGAGTTAGGGACTTCCCCTAAACTTTCTGCAATGGAAGGATATCGGTACTGTACATTATGTGGTTCACTACTACTTCCGTCCAGAGAAGAATTGTGCTGCATACAGCCATAAGCACACACTGTCAACCTTTGAAGTCTTTTTTCAAAGGCCAATTTTCTGTGAACAATGGTACATCAGTTTTGCTTTTATGGAACAGTTTTGCTTTTATGAATTCCAACAGATTACATACATGTACAAGTACATTTTAAGTCTATTCATTCAGTGTGCATCACACAAATCATTATTCATGTTATTGTGCATTGAATATTTAAAAAAAATGAATTTTGACAGCTTCCAGTGGTGTCACAATAGCCTCCTCAGCAACTGATGAAGCACTCTCTTTTTTCAAAGGTGAAGCCTTGAAGCATCGCTAAGAGAGGCTCATTTTTCAAGAAAGCAGTCAATGTTTGCATTATGATGCCTCTCCCACAGACTGCTTGATTTATGTTGTAACTAATTAATTTGGTCTACATGCATACAAAAGTAATGTTAAACAAGAAATTTGTTCCAAAATACCTGCACTTTTCCAAACTACCGGTACCTGCAGTTTCCATGTGTATATTCACAAAATGTTTGAACCCAGCTTTATGCACACACATGTAGCACTGCATAATTTGCTCAACAATGCTTCTTGTTGTCATTACTTTCTTTGGTTGCTACAGGTATGGTACATACACTGTAGTTCTTTAGGCCCTGAAAAGCAAGATAGTAAAAAATAGCAAATTTGTCATGTGACTAGCTCTAAACCAATCAAGACACAGAATCTGCAGGCGATCATGAACATTCCATCTGATGTACCGGCACCTGTTTCAACAGGTTGCAGCAATGGGAATGGGTACCTTTTAAAAAGAAAGAAAAGAGAAAGCAAATAACAGAACCTCCCCTCCTTAAAAAATCCGGATTTCTTGGTACTGAATCACTAGAAGCATTCCCCTTAATCTCTTCAAAAAGAAAAAGAATTCCTCACATTTCCCTCATTACTGCAGATCCTGCTAAAAATCCATTAAACATGGTCTTAAAGCCACAAACTGATTCACTTCCTCATTGCAAGTCAGACCCACATTGTGTGACAAAAGGAGATCAGAAGGAGCAATTCCAGGCGGTAAAATTCCCAATGTCTGTTAAGCAATACAATCCTTCAAAATCCACCACAAGATTTGGAGGATTTTTCCTTAGAATTCAGAGCTTGAATAAGTACGTGTACGTACATGTAATATGATGTAAACTCCTGTACAAAAAATACAGTAGGCCTATTTATTCAGCAACAAGCCAGGCAAGAATACTCTCATCATGCCCATGTACTGGCAGCTATACAAAGTTCAGACATGCAGGTTCAAACTTCAGATGAAAGTGAAACCGATTTGGCCTTGCCAAGCTTTTTCTGCACCAAAATCACTTGACTTGAAATGTGTTCAACGTTTGCAAAATCACAGCACAAAGTTTTGATCTAATGTCACAATCATACATGCAAATGTACATGTAGTTCATGTTCAGTCTTCCTCGATCACCAAGTACCGGTATGGTACTTGTGTGAAAAGCCTTTAAGTACATGTACAGTACATGAACATTATGTACATGTACATGTATACACCTGTGTACTGTACAAAATTATGAGGCACTTGTAGCTCATTGATTGGGTACACATGGCATCTTCGTGAAGATGTCACGTTTACTCAATCAATAAACTGTGGAAGAATTCAAGCCAAATATTATAGTCATTAAACCTACAGTACAAGTAATATTGCCTAATCCAAAAAGGCCCATTCCATGATTTCAAACATGCTACCCACGTACATGTGCGTCCCACATACAGTGTACATGTATAACAGGCGTTTTACTCTCAAAGATGTTGACTTTTTGTTTTCATTCTACTGTTGGGCATCTTGATGGAAACATGGAAAATACCCATAAGAATTTGGGCATGGCCATGCAGTCTTTGTGATGATCATGTCATTGACAAAAACCTGGCATTCTGTACAGTGTGGGACAAAAGGGGGGAGCTTTTTAGAGACTCGCCCAACCTAGACGACAAAAAAAAAATTGGACTAGAAGGGGCACTTTCAAAGTAGAACCCCACATCAGCACCCCCCTCCCGTATTCCAACCATGCCACTACATAAACAGGCTGAGGTATGGTAAAGGGGGCAAGGGAGGGGCTGAATAAATGGCAAGACTATATGGTTTACAACATGCCTAGGGCAGGCTAGAAAACTTGAAACCGCACACAGAGTATATCAATTTGAATAGCTTGATCCATAAATCCTAACCCCCCCCCTTCGAGTAAAGTTATAATGTATACAGCCATACAGCAGCTGGCTGTATGGAGGAAGCTTGGCTGGGGGTAGGGGAAATGACGCTTCCAACGGTGGGTCCTGTGGGAGCATTTATCAGGGACCTGACTGGTGCAGCTCTCTCTCTACCCCCTTCTACCCTCGGCATCCAGCTGAGGAAATGCTGAATTTTCGATGCAGAGGGGGATCGACTGATCGGCGGGTGATTATTACGCAGGTGACTACACACAACATGGAGTGGAGGTCCCCGGAGAAGGATGTAAGAGAATGGCCCAGTAAATGGAATCAAATTACAGGAACCGAGGTCAGCCCCTATCTTTGGCAAGGAGCTTAAAGACGTGTTATATTTAGCCAGCTTGAGACTGATAAGCTCGCCATTTTTTTTTACTTTCATGATTACTAACTTGTTTCAAACAGGCTCGCAACTTTTCTGTGGGACAGTCAAGGCCATGAAATTTGTCAGTGATGACAGAGCGAATGAAACTCATTTACAGCATATAGCGGTGACAAATCCGCAACACAGAAAGCATACTCAGAACAACTTTTCACTACAATCCCCCCCCATTTTTTTCTTTTTCCTCTTTCATTCCCTTTCAAACTACAAAATATTAAGTAGTCTATGGCATGTACATGTACACGGGGCACAAAATCTCTTTCTATGTAAACAAAATTATTTTAATGAGCCTGTTATGAACATCAGCACATACCCATCGTGAAGTGTGTCAAAAATCATGTGGGGACAAGATTGGGGGTTCAACTCCTACTAAGCACGTTTTTAAAGTATGCATGTACATTTCCAAAACTTTTACCAACAGGATAAATTGAAATACATCAATCGGTGAAGAGTAACACTAAAAAGTATTCAAATTCACATTTCCGCCAAGTACAAAAGGGAAAAAATCATAAATATTACCTTACTGAATTTTTGGTGAGACTGTCAGTCAACCTTAGGGAAACCTCAAGCAGAAAAAAACAAACAGAAGCCACCTGCTACTGCTTTGAGTTTCTCAGTATAGATGGGTTACTGGTACGTATGTGTACGTGGACCTCCGTAGGGAAATTTCTAGGATGGAGTTAGTATGAACTGGTACATGAAAAAGTCTACAGAGAACCTGAGCTTTGCAAAGACCCAAGTGTACTGCAGGGTCTGACTGCATCATAGCCTACGTGTACGTCTTGGAGAACCAGTGCAAGTGTTTACAGTAGTTTGGAAGGAATCCAACTGGTCCATTGGGGGTCACATACGTGTAAGAATCCTTGTCCGCAACAGGGCATTTCCATTGCTTTTTCTTTTGAACACCATGCATACATGTACTGGTATACCGGTACATGTGTACAAATCGGACCACACTAGTTTGCCTTTTGCTCAGTGTTTGATTCAAGTAAACAATTTGCTACTTAAATTTCATACCATTCTTACAACTAACCTAATGAAAGTTTAGCTCTGCATACATGCATGAATGGTTCTTAAAAGTACATGTATACTAGTACAGTACATGTACTCTGAAAAAAATGCTCTGTTGACCATTTACGCTCCAGGCTTATGCCGGAGGCTTAAAATCAAGAACGCCGTTCCTGCAACTTATCCCAATCAACTGTACCTTGCTCTTCTTCCTCTATCTCATGAGGTGAAAGTTTGCCAATGAGGCTGGCCGCATCCTTAAGAAGCTCCTCTCTCTTTGCGTTTGTCTCTCTCTTCAGTTTCTCCTTCTTGAGGGTGACGGATAGATATGTCTCCACATCTGTCAAAACAAAGAAGGAAACAGAGGAAAACTTTCTGACAGAGAACGGAACTGTACAGGTCTATGGCACTGACGGTGGAAGTGGGGGGAGGCGGGCCTGGTGGCCCCCCCTTTTGCAGGTCCTATAATGGAGTAGGGTTTGTGGATCGGCTTATAAATGGCTGATGTCTGACGGTCTCACAATTACCCATTTCGAAAATCGTTCCACCACCAGCAACCTATGGCAAGTGTTACAGAACAGATATCGGCTCTAAATAAACACATTTACCCCAAGAACAATCAGTTACAAAATACGGGTTCAACTACCGTAGTCTTAAAGAAGCCCAATGGCTGCATACCATATCTCAACTCTTTGCAGGCTGATGCTTGCTTTTCACCATGAAACAATCACACTGGGAAGACACATTTCGCTGTGTACCGGTACACGTTTACATATACTTCTGCAATGTGTCCTTGTCAACTACTGTAAGCACATACTGGTGCCATGCATGTGTTATGCGTACCCGCTTCTCTATTTGTTGCTGCTGTGGCGGCATCATACGCACTACATACATGTACATGTACCTGTACAGGTGGGAGTTTTTTCAGGACCCCCAACCAGAAATGTCAAAGCAATGACCAGGAAAGAGTTTGAGGAAAGATGCAGAACCAGAAACAGTAACATCTTCCGCTGGAGAGACAAGGCAGTGGACGAAATGGTTGACAAAATGTCATTTTCTCTCAAATCCCACACACTCTGGACATGAGGCACTTGTGCTTCAAACTTAACATGCTTAAGGGGAACATGTTTTTGTACATAACATGCATACAAACAACCAAAACAAAAATGACGACCTTTTGCTTGTAAAAATGGCAACAGTATACTTGGCTTCCCCAAACACAAACTATCCAGCCATGTACAGCATTCACGTAGATGGTCAAGATAAGTGCAAGCTTACTAATTTATGTACATTGTACATGTACATGTACCACACATAAATGTATATGATAAACTATTCTAAGAAAAGCTAGATAGTCACCGGTAACAAGTGCAAAAATTTGAAATTCAATTAGGATATGCACCAAAGCTCAAATCCAGCTCACAGGATTAATATGCGTGCACAAAGAAAAGATCAGTCATGTGATTCTACATACATGTGCACATAGCATACACGTACTATATTATGTACATGTGCATGTCCTAACAACTTAAAGTACATTTGTACATTAATGTCCTGTACTGACCAATTTGCTGACACCATTACTGCAGAGTCCCCACCACTCAGGCGCGCATTCCTAAGCTTGACAAGCGCATATCTTTGGTTAGCAATGAGCCGCTATTGGCTGATGAGGAAGCATTCAATGTGCATCTCTTTTGTTCACGCGCGTGGGGAAACTGCAGTAAATGGCTCCTGATTTTTGTCACCAGATCAGTCAAATGTATGCAACTTAATGCACACATCCTGAAAAAAAGATTTTGCCACCTCAGGCAGCTCATAATCACAGTTTGGGTGATGGCAGTGAAACTTTGTTTATCCGCTCACAGATCAAGAGTGCCAGCTCTGATTCTGCAAAAACTTCCCCTCATCAGTTTATTGCCTGGGGGGAGCCTGGGCCAGTTGAGCCAGGGAAAAGGAAATAAGCTGCTATTTATAGGAAGATAAAATTTTGCACAGAAAAAGTCCAAGTGGCCAGCCACTTCCTGCTACAGCAATTGGATATAAGACAAGAAAATTGGTCACTTTTGGAAAATTGTTATAAAAACTTTTGCATCCATTTTTATAGTCATGGCATATGAGGAAACCAAACAAATCAAATTGAATCTGCTAAAAGCTTTCCAAACAAAATTTGCATTTTTAAGCACTTTTTTGGTTCAAAAAATATATGTGCATGTAAACTGTACTTCTAAATGTATTTACCCTACAAAAGGGACTTTTAAAGCAAAACTGAGCACTTTTGTTTCAGCCTTTTTCAGCTTTTTTTGGTCAATGACTCATCATATATAGACATGACCGATGATACAAAAAGCACCATTTTTTGTTTTGGTTCTAACTTAAAGATTTTGTACATGAAGATGCACAGTGCTGGTGAAGTAAGGAACTTCCATTGGTTTACATATATTTACAGCATAAGAACAATTAATGATTAAGTTGTTGGTCATACTTGAATGCGGCCAGACAAGGTTTATTACTCAGATCTGTTAGTATTGGAATTTACCATTTAAAAGACTATTTTAAGCTCCAAACAAGGCTACTGCCGGACTTAACAGGATACTGAGTAAGGGTATATATGTATAAGGAACCTCATGAGTATCACATGGCAGTGACTAATATGGCCAAGCCTCAACCGGCCTTGCTTCTTAAATCCACTGACTGGATATGAAATTCAATGTACTAGTAGTTTTGTCATTTGTGCGTAAACTGGTTAACATGATAATCGACAGTACTTAATAGCTTACAATACTGGAACTTGACTGGTACTATCCACCATGACAAAATTATGTTCTTGTATGGTTGGTCTTCTATGTACAGTCATGGAATGCAGAGCTACATGTACATGTACAGATTTTACGCAGTGTACCGTACCGGTATTTTTGATTGTGTATCATACGACAGGCCTGCAGCACTACGGTATTTACATGTACCTGTTTCCGTAAAGGTCAGGTCCCAGAGATTAATGTACCCTTTAAACAACCACACCTTTGTCGGTAACATCGTCGTGTCATGGTATTTTTCCCAAACCCAACAGCAACAATAGAAACTGATAAAATCTTACAACAGTTGCATGCCACCACTTACAGTGGAATTCAATTTTAAGTGAGTACATGTACATGTATGTAGGCGTCTTTCGGGTAATTCGTAAACAGTGCCATGTGCTACGTTTTTAGGGTAGCAGCTCCAAATGATACAGTATACTATATACTGACAGTTTGTTAAAGAATGGAATTTTTCACCCAACTGTTGAGATGATCGTTAAGGAAAAGAACTGTTTACACCTGACACTACAAGGATATAAAATGTACATTTTTCTGGAATAGAAACACAAAAGTAATGTTTTTCTTTTCCATTTTGCACTGTCACCAAAAGAAAACGCTGTTTAAATACAGTAGCTTGTGCAACTATCACAGTACACCGCACAGTGCTGAGCAAAGCGCCTTCTGGCTGCAATGAAAATTGGGGGGACGGGGTGGAGGACTCAGCTGTGCCTTGCTCGATTTTTTTTTAAAACTTGGCATGCATATAAGGACACTTGACACGGTGAACTTTGAGCTCAGTGTATGATTTTGTTGTTGCGGTCGTTCGAAATTCAAGGCTACATGCATGCCAGTATGTGTATACTGAGCACTGCAGTGGAAAAAGAATACAGTTTGGGCTAACCCATCTTGGAAAAAAATGTACAAGATCGGCAAAACTGGTGTCAAAATGACTGCAGTTACTCTAAAAACTCCTAAAGGCTCAACTCTTAAAAAGTGCATTGTGGCGATCTCAAGGGGAAAAAAGATTAAGGGGCTGCAGATTCTGCCCCCCAGCTCTTTTAGGGTCAATGAGCTTAAACGTATAAAACAAAACAAACAGTCTTTTTCAGGTAATGAAATACATGTAGGCGGATGGGTACCTGACACATCACAAACAACATGTAAGCAAATCTTATTCTTAGACTTAATAATGAATACATACACAAACTTGCATGATGACGTTACGTCCCAACTATAGCATAAGCCCCAACTATAGTTGGGACAGTCCTAACTGTAGTCCTACGGTTGGGCTGGCCCAACTATTGTAGACCAATGTGTGTGGCAAATGACTCAACATTATCCAAGTCAATGTGTCTCACACTTGACACAATTCATCTAAAATGTGGCACTTCATCCGTTCCTCTAGCCCTATGACCGATGACATGACATTTGTAAACAATATATATGACTTTGGCACATGCTGGGCACATCATGCACACAGGACCTCTCTGCTGTAGTTGGGCCAGCCCAACTGTCATGACTGTAGCACTCTAGTTGGGACTTACATGTATGCTATAGTTGGGGCGTAACAACGACAACAGAACACATGTATGCACACTGTTTACATGCATGTGTATGCCTACTGGTACGGTAGGATCGTTCCATTTGTGTGCTCCCTTGATCTTGATGTACAGTACAACCTGTCAATAAATTTTACCGGTACTTCTAGGAAGATTGCATTTCTTTCTATTTCACGGTTTCAGAAAATTGACTCAAAAAGGGAAGTGAAGTCCAGGAGATTTCATACAGGATTCGCCGACAGCAGAATGTGATTGTGTGATTGCATGATCACTGATCAACCAATCGTGCCTACACATACACTACTGCTTTCCCCACCGGTGCCTGTATCACAAAAGTGTATGCCAAAATGTGAAACTTTGAAAATGTTACAACTGATCAGAATCATTCAAAGTTGGTCAGATACATACCGGTACAGGCCCAAATTATGAATCAACCACGGCTGAAAAATTCTCAACCTCAGTCTATCATCCAGTAAAGTAAAGACAGAAAGTTAAACAGCATACATGTACATTGTACATATGCATATGTACATACCCAGAGACTTGTTCGGCGACCATACGCGTGATCATTGACAGCTCCATGGCCTGATCATGAGCTGGCTGTGACCATCAAAACGGAACATTTTTCACTTAAAACCTACCTTTGAGGAATCGTTTCACCTCCTCGATGACGTGTTCCAGTTCTGGCATGTTGACACACCGGCAATCATCTGATTATTCAACAATAAAATCGATGTTTTCGGAGTTTCATTGCAGCTCGCCAACCTTCGATCAACTTTTTCTGCAGGTTACTTCCTCATTGAGCTTTTGTTCACGACGTCGTCTGCCGAATTAGTGGAAATGACGCGCACGGTTTCTACTTCCGCGTGGGAAACGTGAATTGCGCCCTCAACGTTAGTTAGATCTTTACATCCAGGTACGTACGCGTACACGTACGTATGTACGGCCGGCCCGGCGTCAGTCGTGCCAGTGTAGCGCTAGTTAGCAGACGACACGTCTTCGATTTGGTAATGGAATATTTATTTTTACGATTTTAACAGAGATGGGTGTTAAAAAATACCACATCACAATGTACACATAATAATTTGATCTGATACAAAATGGCTGTAGATAACCTCAGTCACGTCTACCGGCTCGAGGTCGGAGGTTGTTCCATTGGCCTAGTCATGCTTAGTACTAGTACATTATGTACATGTAGGTCTGCATGATCTGGGCAACTCTCCATTCACTTTCTACAGGGATTTGCATGTTTTCCTCTTTTTTGCAGCAATATGATAAAAATAACTGAAACCTTTTCAGTACAGCGTGGGAGATGTTTATAGCATGTAAATAGTGAAATTTCAGGCACATTTGATGTAAAGGTCAAGAGTTTTGTCAATAATTTAGATTTTTCCCCATGAGCGCAAACTTTTTTTGCCCCTTTGAGTTTTGAGTGTGAAATATGGAGTAGCCATCAGTTGACCAATCAGAGAGAAGAACCAAGATTCAGTGACGCCCTCCCGACTGCCCCTGAATGTGGAGAAGTCCCTTTATGTGGGGACAAAATCATTCCCCCATACAGAGAATGTCCCCCTAAGCGGGGACAATTTTTTTTTTCAAGTGGGTTTGGAGATCCTACCATTGCCCTGGGGATTCTTTAATTGTCATGATTAGATTCAGCAAAAAAAAACACGGAAAGCACTTCAAACACACATACATTTCAAATACCGGTAGTTTTGTGAGGTGTTTTCCTTTTTCATTTCCAAGACAAGTTGGTTACAATGCCCAGGAAAAGGACTGCAGCCCGTGATCAGAATGAAGTATCGGCAAAAATGGTGAAAAGCAACCAAGAGGATGAAATAGATGGAGCAACCGGTGCGCATCTCTGGCAAGATGGGGTGAATGCGATGGGTGATGCAGCATCAGCGATTGCCCCGGCCACCACAAGTAATGTCACAACGCCGTCATCTGGCGGCATCGCCGATCGCTTCTTGTCTGAACTGGTGGCACCCTTCAACAGGGACGTGGCCGGGATGGAGTTTGGGAAGCCAGTGGAGTACGTGTATAATCCACTCGAGTACGCCAGCGAGCCACATGAGGACTACATCAGAAAGTACTGCAACTCAACGAAAGACATCCTCTTCCTGGGAATGAACCCTGGCCCGTTTGGAATGGCACAGAACGGGGTAAGTTTCAGTGAAAATGATCCTAATCCTACGCCATGTCCTGTGAAATTCTCACATACTGTAAACTGCAGCTACAAAGGTCGCATTGCTGGAAGCACCCCAAGACGGCTTTTGGCCCCACTTTCAAGCTACAGACCAAGTATAACTGTGGCGCAGTGGAGATCAGTAATAACCGTCAGAGGTTTTATCAGGCAGCTCTTGGGGCCCTGATTGCATTTCCATCGCTTCTTGGCTCGTTATTGCACCTTGCCCCTTTTTTTGGTTCAAAATGACAACTGATAGAGGGTTTTCACAAGCTAGCTCTGTGCAATTCCATATTTACTCTAATTTTCCAAATAAGGTTTCTCTCAGTAATTTTGTCAGATCGTTCTTGAGTGTTTGCAAATCTTACAGACCTTTAGCATACTCTGGCAACTTTGAGCCTTGACATATGCCTAGTCTGGATGTAGAAACTACTAATCTTGGTCCTTAAATAGTCTTGTTGTTTCTTTCCCAAGGTTCCCTTTGGAGAGCACGATTCTGTCGTCAACTTTCTGGGCATCACAGGAAATGTTGGCAAGCCACCCAAAGAGCACCCTAAGAGACAGATTGTGGGGCTGAGCTGTGACCGGAAAGAAGTGAGTGGCAGTCGCTTCTGGGGGCTGTGGAAGACACTCTGCGGAACCCCCGAGGCGTTCTTCCGTCACGCCTTTGTCTATAACCACTGCTCCCTGGTCTTCATGTCCGAAACGGGGAAGAACATCACGCCGGCGGACATGCTGGTGGGCGCGCGCAAGGAGCTGGTAGAGCTCTGTGACACCTTCATCTGCAAGATGGTTCAGCTTCTTGAGGCCAAGGTAGTGGTGGGTATCGGGAAGTTTGCTGAGGAGAGGGCCAAGAGGGCCTTACAGGCCGGGGGTGTTGAAGGGGTACGCGTGGTGACCATTATGCACCCTTCCCCTATCAACCCAGCAGCCAATAAGGGATGGGATCAAGCTGTCACTAAGCAACTTGTCGAGTTGGATCTGCTTCAATACTTCAAGAAATAGTGCAGAGATGCCGGATTATGTTGCAAAAGAGAACAATCCCCTGTTAGCACCATTCCAAATTGGAAATCGATAATGTGGGGTGTCATTACATATCTGGAAATTTGGATGGACTTTGATCTTGCGTGATAATGTAGTTTTAAATTTACAGTGATGAACAGCAGCATCTGCAAAGAGAAGACATTATCTTTCCCTTTGTTCCTGGAAACTCTCTCGTGAAGTACGTACAAACACGTTTTTTAGGGCCTATGGAGAGCAAAAATTTGACTATCAATAGCAAGAAAATCCTTCCGTTTGTCTTAAAGCCATAAAAGTCAAAGGAAATTTCCTACATAAAATGTTGTTTTGTTTCTATTCAAGGAAATGTGTAGCCAACCTTTTCAAGCATTTGTAAAGATTTTAATATAGAATCTTTATAATAAATGAAGAACATAAGTTGGAAGTCACTTTCAGAACTGAAGATTTAATTTACAATAACCAGCAAATTGATGGCTCAGCTGTACACAAGGCTTCACATATCAGTTGGACGGAAATGAAATGCTTCTTACCATAGTACTCTCAGTCTAGAATACAAGAAAATTTGGTCAAAATATAATCATTCACATCAATCAGTAGCATTCAAAAAATCTTATGTACATATACATGTATTGCACTCTAACTGCTTCATGACAACATCTTGCATACTACAAGCAGAATGAGGTTCATTCAAGTTCCCTTCACAAAAAAACACATCTGTCCTGAAAGCCAGCCTGCTAGAGCATATCTTGCACGGGGTGTTTCTTACAGGATGTTCATTAACCCTAGTAATCCTCAATTCTCTGACAGTTTAAGGATTGTGGACTACAGGGTTAATGTCTACTAAAGTTATATGCACAGGTGTAGGCAGTGCTTTGGTGTATTCCTGCACCCGTATTCGAAAAGTTGGAATGTAATGCCACAGCACCCTTACACCCCAGTTATTAGTGAAAAATGTTGAATATGGTGTAACTCTATTAAATAAGGTGTAACTTGAGGTTTTACCCCACGATATCCCACAAAACCCTGTTCAACCTCGAGGTAAACCTCTTGGTTGACTCTGCATTCTTTCCGCCAGCTTGTCTTAAAGCTCACACTCTTCAAAGTTCTTTTGAGTTCACGACGTTCAGCAATAGTGCTCATTTGCATTTCAGTAATCCTCCGATGATACCTACGAGACTTGAGGCTTTACCAAGGTGCTTCTTTAAGGGCAGCATATTGGACAAAATTTAATATCATTAAGAAATTCTGGGGAATCAATTGACAAAAATACCGTAAAAGTTTGAATAATCTTACCACTTCATCTGAAATGAACTATTTACTCTTCAAGTTAATTTACAATTTGTTGAAACTAACCTCATCAGGTCATTGACCCAAATACAATTCCTGATGTGGAAGCTACCAGTCCACCATTCCCACACTTAGCATTGTTTGATAAATGACTTTTAGTCGCCTAACAGAAAGCCGGTATCTTCAGATTTTTTAACTGCTTGTAGACCATGTTATTGTGGCTGAAATATTTTGACTGAAAATATTGCAGCCCACTGCTGATATGCAACCACACAGCACAAATACTGACTTTCTGAAGTCATTGGTACAGTTATTTGTACAATATTTCTGAAAGCACGCTCCTATTTTTCAACACTCCAGAGGATGGCCAGAATATCCTGGCCGAAATGTCGAGTTGACACTCACCAGTTCTTCTAAGAACCACACCTCTTCAAAAAGGAGATTAATTCCATGGTGTACCCGCAGGCCAATATCCCAACACTCCAGGGCACACCCACAGAGCGATTTTGGCCATTAGCAACCAAGTTCAACACATGCTTTGCCCCCACAGGCTTCTTGGACTCTGCGTATGTGTACAAAAGAAATGGGGGATTAGACCACGTCAGCCAGATACTTTGCCCCATCATCTGTGCCCAAGTATACAGATAGCTAGATCGTGTTTACACACCCTGGCACAAAGCGGTTTAAAAAAATTACCGAGATCACAGGCTAACTAATGAAAATAATGACAAGACAAGGCTGTTCAAGAATCCCGATATTGTGCAACGTACAGTCTTGAGCAAAGGTTTGCAAGGCGTAAGGTATCTGCATGAACAACGGTACAGTTAGCCAACATTTAATAATGTGTCGAGAATTTCACTACAGCTTTGCACTCAGTTTCTTTCCTGCTGCGTATCTCCTTTTTTTTTGTTTTTTCTTCTCATAAAATGTTGGAGTCGTAGTCTTGCTCAGCTTCCTCGTCCGTTCTCTCATCAGCGTTGAGTTTCTTCCACCACGGCTGACGCAGCATCACCATCTGCTCCTTGTGATTGGCCAGAGCTTTGGTGGCAATGGGGGCCGAGTGACTGGTGAACTTGTGGATGTCACGATCTGTCAGGTCACACAGCTTTGGCGCATCTAGAGTGATCCAACATTGGAAAAAAAAAAAGGATTAAAAAGTTTTCATTTTCTTCTGGTCGACATGTGTCTGGCTTATTCATAAACAGAAGTATGAGCTTTGACAAAAGGAGGATTTGGGGGCCTTCCATCTCTGGCTACTTTACGTGTACATGTAATTGTTTCAAAATCAACAACTACAGATCAGTTTTGTCACAATGAATACAAGACCAGACGACTGGGTGAACGGTGACAAGGCATGCTTTTGCTGCAATTCACCATTTTAAATACATATAGTTTCCGATGTGAATTCTGACTGGATATCTCGTGTTGGTCATGTGATGGTCTTAAGGTCTGACCTACAACACTATGTGTACTTTTTGCGATATTTTTAAAGGTTTAAAGTTTTCCGTCCAGCTGTTTTTACCCTCCACTGGGCTTGATGGCCCATTTGCTGGAAAGAACTGAGCCCCAGCCTTCACTCTCCAAGGCCAAACGGCCTCAGACGCTGACCTTGCCAGCCACTGCTGGATTGCAAGAATGAATTTGTTCAAGTGGACAATGTTCTGCCATCGTCTGAAAATTATCGGTAAAACAGCTGTCATTGACTGGCCACGGCAAACGGCATTCCGGTTCCCTTACCACTGAGCAGGTCAGCGTCTGTCTCCAGCGAGGCCAGGAGTGCTTCCCTCCTTTGGTAGCTCTTCCGATGAGCCATGCGGACGCTCAGGTATCGACCCAGCATCTCTTGGGCTTCGTTATGAAGCTCCTGCTGCAGCTGGTAGCTCAGCTGCTTGGGCTGAAGGAGATCAAGGAAATGAAAGTTGGTTTGCTTGTGGAAGCAAGTAATGATTGGACCACTTTATACTGTAAAGGATCAGAGCTTTAGCATTAGTCTTACACTACACCGTGCAGGATTCAATCTTGGTGCTCTGGGTTTGAGAGAACAGAAAGCAGCAACATGCCGATTAAAACGACCTTGATGAACAGATCATAAAACAGTTTATGTCCCACACGGTGGTGAAAATAGTCATATTGCGAGACACTTTCACACACTAAGTTTGAGTGAAATGGAATAATAATAATTACAACATTTGTAATGCGCATTCCACGACGTTTCAAAGTGCCATTATTATCCCTGCACATTGGGCTCACACATCTATGAACATTCCTGAAACCATCTCAGCTCCCCTGGGAGTATACTAGCCCAGTGCTGCCATTTTGGCGCAAACAGCTAAACATAACCGTGTCGACCCTCACAGGTACCCATTTACTTCTGAGTACAGAGAGGCACACAGGGTTAAAGTGACTTGCCCAGGATCATAACATGCTGCCATTAGCTGGATTCGAACCCCTGACCCTATCATCAGAAACTACAAACCCTAACCACTAGGCCAAATGCCTCCATGTGCGAGTTGTGGAACTTTCAAGTGTTCTTACAACAATCTAATTCAGGCAATATCTTTTGTTACACGTGCATGGTCCCCAAAACAACGGAACTAGTATGCCAGATATTTGGTCAGTCTCTGATCTTTCTCAAAAACGTGTGGCTATGTGACATTGGCAACTTCCAAACCTAAAGATTCTCTTGATCTTAGAGTGACCATGACCTGATCACTTCTAAGCACGATTCCTTGTTTTCTGTTTACCGGATGTGCCTCTCGATGCTGGTCAATAGTTCTCTGCAGATCGACTCTTCGTTCCTCCGTCAGGCCAGGTGGGGGTCGAAACAATAACGGCTCCCTTTTCTTTTCCTCCAATTTCTTCAAGAATCGGCGGACCTAACCCCCCAAAAATAAGAACAGAACAATGTCATACACTCTGTACAATATTCCATTTCAGGAAACACAAAGTTGAAACACCTCAGAAGTATTTCAAATACGCAATAAAAGTGGACCTTCGGTGTTTTTTGTTAGTGTGATGAAGATTTTAATTGTGCAAAGTCCCATACTTTACAGGCAGCAAAACAGTTCAAACTTGCCCACGGGCATTCGTCCTACCTCCGTTACGCATGGTGACTTACCACTCTCTGGATGGTGATGGCCGCTCTGACCTGCTGGGCTGTGGCCTTGCGCAGACCCAGCTTACGTCGCTCCAGGATCCCTCGCCACCGAGCCTGTAGCTTCACGGCGGCTGCAATCTGAGACATCTGCAAATACCGGTCCACTTTGCCTGATGGGCAAGCACAAGAAAAGGAAAGAACTACAAAGTCGAGTGCCTGCTTGGAGAGTGTGGCCTCTTTGACAAGTGCATCATTGGACTTGACCTTAGCTTGCTGTTCCATGGTGTCCATCAGTGCACTGCTTCTACCTAATTGCCCTGTTCAGTTGTCTACTGTGCCTTTTACAATTAAAGGTGTCCAGCTATCAAGTGTGTCCCCGAGTCTAAATTACCACTTCAGCAACTTACTCAGTTCACCTGTCTGCTACAACTCACATCTTCATCACCCTGTCTGCTTTGTCCACTTAAACACGTTGACTGCGGACTAGTAGTAACCGGTGTACCGGATTTTCACTTGTGTGAAAGCCGTCAGTATCCAGCTTACCTGGAGCCATGGCAGCGATCATGTCCAGTTGTTTCTGTCTGGTCTGTCGGATGGCTTGCCTCCTGGACACCAACAGCTGATGCTGGAGCTCCCTCCTCTCCCGTTCCTTCTCCACCTGTTGGTCGCGCTGTGCTTGCTTCTCTCTGGAGGTTGAGGTGCACAAAACAATCATATCAATTGATTCCCCTGAGAACAATCTTGACACAAGAAAAACCATCCAGGGAACTGTAATCACAAATGGCATAGGGTGGCTGGCGCTCAAAGCACTCACCTCTTGCCACTATCAGGGGTGTGAGTGGCCACTTAAATTGAAGCTGAAGACAGCTATCAACAAGCTGAAATGTAAGAAGTCCCCATTTCTTTGTACACAGCAGGTGCACAAAAAAGCTGAAATTCAGGGTCAACATCTAAACAAAACAAGCTGAAATCAGCTAAAAAGCTGAACTCTCACACCCCTGCACTATGATTCTGAGTTCAGTTCCCACTGCCATATGTAAAGGCAGAGTTCTTTGCTGGTTTTCTCCTGAGCTGTGAGGGTTCTCCAGTCCCCCCCTTCTACACCCCCCCTGGAAAACTATTAACACTTATGTCTCTGGCTGTGCTGCGTAGGCAGTTGTGGGTCATTTGTCGGCTGCCTGAGGCACCCTTGTGTGCCTTCTGCTTGACCATACCATACTTTCACACCTTCACTGCACAGCACATTTGAACACACTTGTAAATATCAATATAAATATATATAATGCTTTAGATATGCGCTGATTATAACCTGTAATCAATTGCATAATCATACAATGAATGTTCAATGCTCTTGTATGAAGTGACAGATTGGATGTTACCTTCCAAGAGCCAAAGCCGAGTAGATGGAATGTGCAATCTGTTAGCGAATGAAATTATGACACCCTACTGTTGGAGAGGAATGTTTCATATATAACACCTGAGTGTGTGAAGGATGGCCCTCAGTAATGGAGCCTAAGTCTGATCGCTGCCTTTTGTTGATCATTTCTTCTTACCTGAAGCTCTTCTGCAGTCTGGTAAATGCCTTGTTTGCTTTCTTTAGTTGCTTGCGCGTCTGGAATCCTCTCCATACTGCCTGGACAGTCCGGGCTGCTCGATGTAATCTCTGTATTGTGCAGGGTGACAGTAGGAACTCAGTGCTAAACCACGCTGGTCAACGCCCAAGGCAGGCATTGCTCTGGTCTTGTTAGTTCTTATCTCACTGCAAGTCCACCAGGCTCAAAACGCATGGTAACTTGTATTGCAAGTATTAAACACGATGTGACCTTCCTGCTGAAGTTTAGTTTATTGCAACACGATGGTGACTTTTTGCCCTCGAGAAATACTGGGATACAATACACACTGAAAATCGACATTACTGATGCGTTTTTGGTAATATGATAAATAGGAGACATTTGAGGCACTTGCTGGGGGCAAACATACCAGTCCTACTATTGTTAATGTCACGTTGAAGCAAGCGCATATCACGTCAAATGTGACACAAAAAATGGTTGTCCGGTTACAGGGGAACCAGTATATTGCCACCACCAAGCATCTCAAGATCTCCTACTGAAATTGGGTTTGATGTCAAACTTAGCACAATAAGGAGGTAACTATAACAAACAGAAAACAATTTCCAAAATTGTCTATACCTGACAGTAACGCACAAAATACTCTTCCGGGAAACATCAGCTTGTTACCCTGAATTCGCACTCTTTCCTGGTTCATAGTTTTCTACTGCAGAGGACAACTTACTTTTGACCTATGATCTCACCTGCAGCTCTGCCTGCTGGGTCGACCCAGCATCTAACAGAGCCAGAAGCTTCTTCAAGTCGCGACCAAATCCTTTGCCGGTCCATCTGCTCAAAAGTGGCCTCAGACCCCTGCAAGATGCAAGTCATACACAAACACTCAACCTGACTATGGAGGTATATTCCTAAGAGCAATTCCTGAATCCTCCAAAATCTCTTAATGTTAAGGTTAAAGAAGAACACGTTTCTTGAGGTACTGTCTTTGGCCTTGTGACTCCATGTAAACATATTGTGCCTAGGCTCTATTGTCAACCCTGAAAAATCCTGCCTTCAGGCAGATCTCGTTGGAAGGTGGTGAAACCACTACACAGCACAGGAATGTTGTTAGAGTACAAAAATATGAGTGAAAAGTGACAACCTAAGGCCTATAATGCCCTCATTCTACACCCACCGCTCCAAATATTTCAGTGCCTCTCTTCATGGTCTCTGAATTTATATCAAGCCATTCTTTGATCTACATGTAGAATTCCATAGGTATTCATCATCGGTTTTTGAGGCCAAACTGGGTCGGACTCGGCTCCTATGATGGCCCTCCATCTAGTCATGTCCCTCACGTCTTCTGCACTCACACCCAGCAGTCGCATGTCAGCAGACACGGTCTCCTACCAGGTCTTGCGCAGTCGGCCGACTGGTCTGGACCCCTCCACCTCCTATCTCGTAGATTTCTTGACCCAGTTGGTGTCCTCCTTCCGCTCCACGCAACCATGCCTCCTCAGTTTACTTCTTCTCATGACTTCCCCGATCCCTTCCACCCCGACTTTCCACCTCAACTCCTCACTTTGGTACATGGTCCGACAGAGGCACTCTGCACACCCACCAGTTATCTTAATCTACATGCACATTTGTGGCTCTGACACTTCAGTACTCCACATCGGAACACAATTGAAGAGGTTTTGGAGACACATAATTGACCTCGTCTGCTGTTGTACACGGGTCACAACTACAGATTAATCAACTCTATTTCCTGTATTTCTTCTACACAACATTAACCGAAATTCTGAAGTACATTTTGAGAAAAAGGTACTGCCTTTTGTTCAAGGTTGGAATGTGCTGATTTTCCTTACTTGTATCTGGTGTAGAGCAGTCTGATGAGTGGCTGGTGCACATCGGCAATGTTGACCAGAGTCCTTGTTGCAGCTGCGCCAACCTCTGCTTCGGTGAACGCAGACAGCTTATAGATGACCTCATCCAACAGACTATGAACCACCTTCTCATCCAGCGTCTGCAATACCACTCTAGGAAACGGGGATGGAATGAGCATCGATTACAGTTAGACACCGTGACAACATGGGTGTAACAAAACAGAAATATATTAGTAACGCTGATGCGCCACCATGCGGCATCTGGATATGAAATCTGAATCACTAAGTATTTGTTTACGACGTTCTCAATCATGAATATAGATGAAACATGGTGATACATTGTATGAAAAGGTTACCCTTAACAGTCACTTTAAACACTGGCTCGTACGCTTGATTGAACACATACAAGAAGCGCTTGATCACCAAAGTCTCAAACCTCTTCACTATTACCACTGCTCACTGAGCCGTTAGATTAGTCCAATTTGATCTCCAGGGAACCACTTATACTCCTGCAGGAGTGAGGCAATTGTGGTTGCCTTGCCCAAGAAACACTGGCACCCTGAAACCTGTGTGGTTCGAACCCACCTATTGTCACAAGTGAGTTAAATACCAGAACCACTGGGCCACACCACTGACCAGTGGTCTGAACCTTACACAACGAGATTAGGACTTTAAAAATCTTCTGTGCTGAAAAGACCGACAGGGCATATAGTGTGGGAGCAAACTTACGGGTTGACTCGAACTGCATTCTGGAACAATCCCAGAATGACAATGGCAGTCTCTTTGTCGTCGGTTATCAGCATCTGAAGCAGGTAATTTGATCTGAGAACTGAAATAAAAAGAGAGACTGTTTGGCTGCGCATTTTCCATTAATTTTGGCTATGAGAGACATACATGTATGACTTTACCAATATGCATCACCAGATTAGTACATCTGTAGGGAAATAATACTGTTTTCTTCAAAATGAAAAAAAAACATATTATCAAACGAGATGCGAGGAATATGAGTGGATTGCTACCGTGCATTGTGAGGAAGACGTGACCGCTGATAAGCCACTGTAAGGCTTCAATGACTTCCTGAAAGTCCTTGATCAGGTCGTCCTTCAAGGTCAACGTCTTCTCCGGGATCTTCATGTAGCGGAATTGGACGTTGCGGGCCAAGATGAGCAGCCGCTCTGAGGCTTCAGGGAGGAAGATGGCATTGTACTCATAGGTGTCGGTGGGTTCAAGGCCAACAGCACAATGCCTGGGAAAACAAAAAAATTCACATTTGATACTTTCCTTCTGGTTGGTTACTTTCATGGTATGCATGGGTACAGTGTAATACCAACAAAAACACAGACTGTTTGCATACAAGAAACCCTTAACCACTTGCCGCCTGGGACTCCGGTTTCGGGCACCGTGTGTTTATATGCGTGGCCGGGGTCTCTGAACTCGGACAAAGGGAACCGGGCCTTGTAACAGAAGACCGTACTCGGAACAAAAGACCAGGCTGCTGGGAATTACCGACATTTTTTCACTCTCAAAAGTGGTGATAATCCAGCCTTGTTTTGAAACGGTATACCATGGTTTGGGGCATTGAGAGCAAGTGGATTACCACCGGGGACAAAAGGGCTCCACCATCGCAGCCATGAGCCACACAGCACCGCTGCATGCTAATCTGGCCCCTATTGAAAAGAGGTCAGCAGCGCACTGTGCCAGGTTTGTGAACAAAAGAAAGTTACATAACACCTCACAATCTGGGCTCTTTTTACAAGGCTGCAGGCTTGGCTGAAATACTCAGGCGTCAATAGATTTTGTCTGTCAGACTAGAGTGGCCACCAGACAGTAATTTGTGTGGGTGTAAACATCCATTAATTGAAGTGATGAATTTTTGAAGAATTTTGAAAACTGAAAATCTTGAAAAGTCCCGATTATGTGCACTGCATTTTTCAAACCATCCGGCAGCAAGTGGTTAACGCTACAGCCCCACTTGAAAAGGGCATATGGTTAAAGGATAACAGCCCTGTTGCACCATCAATGGAGCTCACGCTAGGATCTTGGCCAAGGAAGCCGCAGTGTTCCATTTGCCCTGGATGAGTGAGAAATCTTGTCTCAAGGCCAGGAGGACGCTCTGCAGAAGGTCAAACTGCCAGATGTCTTTCTTGACTTTGGCCGCTCGCTGAGACCCAGGAATGACGCTGTCCAAAATGTCTGAGAATGAGAATAAAAAGTTGAATGATTCCACAGACCCACGGTCACGGACCTTACATTACATGTACGTGTTGCTATGCCCAAACTATGTACATGTAAATTAACATCAATTATTTGGGATGGCGACTCTGTCTCTGGGGTGAGTTCCAGCTTTCGAGTTCACGATGGTCAACAACCGGTTGGTGTCATCTGGAGTAATGTCATTGGAATTTAATCTCCAGTTGACTTAGGTGCTTCCATGGGCTTGGACTAAAGGGATGCTGACAAGGAAGAATCCAGATCATGGATTCAATCCCTGGCAGCGACTGCTTTTTCATTTATCATCCTTTTTTTTCCCAGGGAAAATGTCAGTCTTATACGCACACACATGTACTTCTCAAAACAGCATAATTTCGCTTATCGGGAGTTCATGGTTTAAAAAGATTTCTTGAGATAGATAAGGGCAGAGAACCAATTCCAAACAATTAATGCATGCTTGACAGTGTTGTTGCTGCTGATTCTCATGAAATCAAGGACTGCTACCAGATGCAGAGCTGCTGCCGGAACAAAAACAAGAAAACAACTAAAACCAAAAGAAAAACATAACACATAAAGGTTAAAACAAAATTTGAATCACATGAAAAGGAAAACACAAACTGTAAACATCCCATCCCATAAAAACTGAGCAAAACCAAAACCTCACGCCACTGCCTTGCTTAGCATGCTTATAAAAGTTATGACCAGGATGACAAAATCTTCGCCAAATTACCATGACTTGATGCAGTGTATTACAGCTTCAATGTTTGAGGCCATAATCCAACTTATACCAGTTTTCTTATATTTGGGGAAGAGTTCCATATACAGACGCCAGTAATTCCTCCCTACAGCAACATTAATAGCCATAACATGCATAAGAAAGCCAAACCATGTCCTGAAGTTAAATTTAGGCCTACGTAATTTAGGAGGGAAAATACCAAGTCGTTTACTGAGAAAACACTTTGATTTTTTCAGCCCAGTCTCATAGGGTTTGTATACAGAGTGTCAAGTGGCGTCCGTATATGGAAATGTTTCCTATATTAGTTTTAACATGACGTGACTGACAGACTGGAAATTGGGCCTACGGATACGTACATCAAAGTATGATCACACGTGCGATGCCTAAGTGACGTGTGTACATGTACATCACGCGCTATAGGGCCTAACCTTGGATTGCAAGCAGCAGAATTGGAACGTTTTTATCTGAAGTTTCTGTAACCTGATGAGCAAGATCCTCTACTCGCCTGTCCTCAAGTGTGTCAGCTCCACTCATTTTTGTAAGGGAATGAAATACTGACCAAAAGAAACGGGAAATCTACTTGGTACGATGATCAATTCGTGATCTCGAGCTCTCTGGAATTCGCGGTCAACAGCGCCCTCCATAGGTCAAATCGTGAAAAAGGTGATTACATCATCACCACATGCGCACTGAGGTGTGAAAGCGTGAACTTTATCATCAAGTTGATTGCTACGGTCACCGATACGAAGCGAAGCTTGAGATTTAACGAAAAGCATAACGTTAGATCATAGAGCAAGGAAGAGTTGTGTGCGTAGGTATCAGTGCCTTTGACAGGTTCCATGAAAGATATCCTAAGTATGCATGTACAAATATGTGCGTCTCGAAGATTCATGCAGAATAGGCACGATGGGCGCCGCAATTAATTGAATTATGTCACGTCATTCACATTTTATTTACGTTAGGCATGACATATCATGCATGTTTGTTAGGCAGACCTAATGTGCATGACAGTATATGTCGTATAGTTACCAGGTCCCTAATTTGGCGAAATAAGGGACCTGGCGACTATACCATGTAGGTTTGCCTGATACTGACAAACTAAAAGTAATTAAAGACACCCATGAATCTAATGCCTTCACAATGGTGTAAAAGTCCAGGGATCTGCCGCTGCC